ATTTTTTTGAAAATTTTGGCCCATTTGACCTTGAAGTAAAGGTCAAAGGTCAAATCCAAGGGTATATTTGAAATCTACACATATGACTTTTGGAAAGCCGTCTATAGAAATTTTTCCCATAACTCCTTCCGTAGGGTAGATAATTAGCATTTAATTTTGCCATTTTTAGACAAGGGTGCATTGTAATGAATGCCACACCCAGACCCCAATACCGACAAAGCCTAAATTTTACGTGGAACGAGTTGAGATTATAGGTGACCTAAATCCATGAGATGGGTACGGGGGCCCTTACCGTCTAGGAGGAGAAGCGGTAACGGTAGCCGTCCGGCGGAGCCGGCGGAACGATCCGGACGGGACCGAAACCATGTGTACCGCCAGCGCTAACGCTGGTGGTACAATAAATGCTTGTTTTGCAATAATCTTGTATGCTAATTACGACATTTTTAGAACAAAATGATAAGAGGATAGATGTACATAGTGACACAAACTCTAACAGCAATCACTTGGACCTAAAAAAAAATAAAACTGTTTTTTGTGTTGAAGCTACTTTACAGATTTTGCAAAATAAAACATGAGGTTGAAGTGAAATCGTATTAGCTGTACACGCTAATTTAACAATGAAAGCAATCATGCAAACAAACCAATTACCAGCTACGATCACATCAGGAGTAATGCTACATGTATTATGCAATGTAAAAAGCATTTGCCAAGCTATAAATTACAAGTTAGAACACCCACTATGTGCAATAAAATCAGATAATGATAACAGTAAACATCACAAAAACAACTAAGAAAAGCACCCAGCATCACAGTGGCAAAACACTATCACCTACCTTAGCCGCGGCCTCCTAAAGAAAAATAAAATTGTATTCTTTAATATAACTTTGTATTGCTGGGCCCAATCTTTCTTTTAAAGTGTACTGTTTCTGGTATTTTGTGTCCAGATGAAATGTTCCAATTAGTCTTATTGATCATAATTTTCCATTTTTTTTTCTTTATTTTTATTATTATTATTTTTATTTTATTTATTTAATTTTTTTTTTTTTTTGGAGGGGAGGGTTCAACTGAAAAGTCATTATACTTTTATAACTTTTAATTTCTCACAATTAAAATTGTCTTTATCTTTTTTTATTAACAGCAGTTATTCTTTTCCCCTTTACTTACTACAACAAACACTCACGAAAGTGTCCAGTGTAATTAGTCATAATAACATATCAAACAACAACTTATACAACATAAAGATGGCTAAATCATGCAACAGCAGTTAAACAATTAAAATGGCAAAGACTTGTCATATATCAAAACATCAGTTTGGTGCAGGTGGTTGTATTAGGTTCCAGACAAAAAGTTAATAGTCCAACAGCATCACCATATGATTCAATTCTCTTCAGTCATGGCAAAACTTGTCTGCTCTTGGCCGAATACCAAGCAAAAGTAAAGTCGAGCCAGCACTTATTTCACACCCACCCATTTAAAGTGTGCATAAGCTATAAGTAGACTTTCTCAAATATTTTGTTTCAACTTACAACACTATAATTGTTTTAATGAATTTTTATAGCCAAGCAATTAAACATCTATATGGTCCCAATACTGTGAATTGATTTTTGTCTCAGGAAAATATTTCCTGTGCACAGTATCTATAGCTTTTAGCATGTACCTAAGAAAACAATACGTTCAGAATTTTTCCCATATCTGCCCTATAATTGAATTTGTGAATCTTCAAGAAATCTGGTGGTTTGGCAGTGCAAGTTAGACCATTTTCAGTCTATTTTAGTCTGGATGTAAGCACAACCAGAGTTGACACAGCATTCCTGGAACAGCCATGATCATGCCATTATATAGCATAGACCACAATCATGTCACACCTAACAAAAATCTCAACTGTAGCATTCAAACACTCTCCACTTACCTGTCATATGTTTCTTCAATAGTATTGATATTGTCTTGTCGAATTTTTATGGACTTTATACAATAGAATATTGCTGATATAATCATCATCACACCTACAGAAAAAATATTAAATAGATCTTACATTAAAACAAAAAGCATGATAATTCAAATATACAATGGAGAAAAAAGTCCAACATGATTGCTATGTGATGTGCTGGTGACAGTTTTCAATTGTCAACTGAGAAAAAACATACTGGTAAGAAAAAACTTTTTGTGTGAGATTTCCGTATTTTAACTGAATGTGGCTGCATATATGACAAGACTACTCTGAAGTCAATTATCCGCATTTCAATATTCTAAAACTGTCTTCCAGGTTTTCAGGTTTGAAATAATCAGCAAACATTTTTCTTTCAACTTTCTTCAACAAAATATACTCAAACTACATTATGCTTGCAGTCAGAATGGCAATAACCTAACACCCTGTGTGCTTACAAGAATCACTTGGAAGAAAACTGAAAACTGGGGAATAATTGGCACAAAATAATCCATGCCTTCAATGTTCTTCTCTTGGTGACAACTTCATCTAATTATTTCATCTAAAACATTGTGTCCTAATCGAAAACTTTTGTGCTTTGATTTAAACCCTTCTTCCCTAGCACAACCATCTAAATAAAGAAAAAGGTGAATGTCATATCAACTAACCTGAAATTATTGCCATCCACACCTCCTGTGGTTGTATAAAACATGGTATACAGAGTATGAGGTAGAAAATACCCTTTTTCCAGTTGTCAAACCACATAACCCAGCTCCAGAATTTCACACCACAGCTAGGGGGTCTGCGTCTAGTCAAACAGAAAAATAATATTTCAAAATTAAGAACAGCTACTTATATACAAGTACAGTAATGGCAACAAAAATATCTATAGATTTAACTTGCCACTTCTGTTTATTTATCAATTTGCTTAATTACTATTCACACTGCATAAATATCTCTACGAAAGATTCATGATATATTTGATTTCTTCAACATGTTTCTGGGAAGTGATTTCACATCATTCACTGCCTAATTGTCTTTTGCTACAAATTCGCATGGGTTTTATTCCAGATTATAATTCACCTATCAAAAGCTTATACTTACGGTGAATCTCTCTCTGTGCATGCTAACACACAGAGGTTAGTTAAGAATACCGTTTCTAGAAAGGTCATTATAAAAGCAGCTCCACTGAAAACAAAATTTAGGTTGGTAAACAATCAACTTCAATTTTCAAGTTTTTATAATTCTTTGGTAACTGGGTTTAATAGAGATAAATATGACTACTGCATTTCATGATTTCAATCTTCTTTAAAAACTAACAAGCAAGTATGAAATACTAGAAGACAGCTCTACCAAACACTTCTTCATTTGAAATTATTTTCTAAACCCATGAACATGAATTTATATTTTTTTTTATTTCAACTTACATAAGATAAAACCCCAAGGGGTGGTGTCTAAATGCTGCCTCGACTCCAATGCCCCAAAGTCCTGGAAAACAGAAGTACACGTACCACATAAACTACACGCAAGACATCACAGTACTAGTACATGTATGTACTATTGTAGTTTGTTATTTATCCTTTTTATTTGTGTTTATCTTCAGTAAGTAATGGGATAATTAATTTGGATACACTTTTTAACATTCTTTTAACTTAAATAAGCAGCTTCTCAAGTTATACCTTGAGAGTATGCCTGCTAGCATTGGTAATGCTGTTCAGTTAACAGTGACAGGTGTTTGGTGCATAAATCCCAGCAAACTAACAATACTCGACATCATACATTTTGTTAAGTTCAACTGACCCTGAACAACATTTAAATAACGCTTTTTGTTTTATGAGGTCAGAGAGGGCAACAGTTCAAAACAAAGCACCAAGTGGCGTGATCTCAGTCAGGCGGAAAAGCCTTCAAAACACGTGAACACCGAGGCCCTGCGGTCACCTACCGACTGCTGTAATCAAACCCCAGATACGGCAGATCCATATGAAACACTCAAAACAGCGTCTGCATCTTGCTGTTGACACAGTCATCTTTCTAAAAACATTTGGCACTATTTCGCGCCCTCCATCTGTACTCAGCAACTCACCGGATGTAAATAATCGATATTTGGTCGAAAGATGGCAGCACATTCTAGTGCAAGATAAGATGGTCATTCAACTCCGTGTCTCACCTAACACATTCAAATGAAAAACGAGGCGAGTTAAAAATTAAAATCCTTGTGGGGTTTTGTTTGTTTGTTTGTTTGACGTTTAGCCCATCTTCTTCTATAAGTTGTTTTCCCTAGAGTTTTTTTTGCTCAAAATACAAGACTGAAATTATCATGATATGAAATTAGAGTGAAGATATAAAAAAATTATATATACAGTACTGTATACTTACTTAAAATATACTCTGTTATGTCATATGAGCACTGAAATGGTCCCAGTCTTTCATGTCTCATTTCTATTCAAAATACGAAGTTAAAATTAAGAAACAAAAATTTTGTTTACGGCGTGTGGCATCAGTGTTTTTCTTTTTGCCATTTATTTATGCCAGTCAATGGTTAACTTCATATTTAATCAACGTTACAAATGCCAGTTTTATAATATGATGATCAATTTTCTCACAACGTGTACAAAACAAGGACGACAAAAACGAGGTACTTGTGGGTTTTATTAAAATCTTATATTAATTTCATCAATTTGCAGTATCTAATTGCTATCCCCCCCCCCCTTCCCCGTCCCTATCTTCTTTTTTTTCTGTTGAAGCATTCACGACCTCTACGAAGCTTTTTTATCCTTTCAGCGGGTAGAACCAAAGAAAATCCTAACTGTCTGTTAAATATTACCACTTGCTAATTTTCATCTTTGCCCTTGGTTCACAAAATCCCAGTTTTAAAAATTAAATGTGCAACGCTATGGACTTGACGAAGATTATAATGATTCTGCCAGTGATCCGAAGGTTTGAGGTTTTTTTACTGAGACTATCAATAAGAAAGACCAGAAAGCTAACAAAACGATGCAACAGGTCACGAACAGACAGTCATGTTTCCGATTTACACATCACCGCAATAGGAGAGTATTTTATAACGCATGCACTAGGCCCTATAGTATTAGGAACAACTTCACAATTTTTCGCACTGAAGTATTACGCAATTGAAAAGCCACATATTAAGGAAAAGTTTGTTTTCTTTTGAAGTATTTTGAAGTATTTTGTATAACAAAATATTTTTATGATTAGCTTCAAATATAAAGCCGTAAATTTTGCCATGTGAGTGGAAAATATCTCAGATGAAACGAATATCTCTATATTATTTCGACTTGTGCAGTAGCAATGTTGTATTAATTAATCTGATAGTATTCTGTTCTTGATAAATAAAACACACTACCTAATGGGATTAGTCTCTTTAAAGCAGAGAGAACGTTAGTGAAAGTAAAATTAAATCAAGCGAAGTTAGCATTAAAAGAAAATGAAAGGATTTTCGACTCACATTATCAGTGAGATCCAAATATAGTTTAATCTACTGTGATGTGTAAATTGATTTTATTAGCCGTGAACTGTGATCACTGCCCCAATGCAATAGGACCCTCCTACATATCATCCGATATATACACGCACGCATACATATCCGGCTGTGCTGGGAGAAAGGTGTGTAATAGTACATGCACTGTCAAATAATTTACAACTTTTACCTAAAAGACCAAACCTTGAACCTCCCCAAAGGTTTATCTGTGGGAGTATCTCAAAAACAATTTGCACCAGAACAGCCCTCAGGTGATTGGTGAACTGTGGAGAGCAATCACAGTAGAATCAGGAAAATCCCGAAGGAGCAATTATGTTTGCGAAATTGACATTTTTTTCGCAACATATGCAAGTGTGCATCCAATGCCTCAGAAGCCATTTGGAGCATTGTTTTTACGCATGGTATCAAGAAAATTGAAACTTTGGGGAATGATCATACACATATTAAAGTTTAAGTCAAGCAAATTTCTTGAAACTTGATGGACTTTATTAAAAAAAAAATTTTTTTTTTGACCACCCTGTATTATGATAGACCAAATTTGAATCTATATACTGTAGTTAATACTTCTCTGAATTAATTTTGCACTCGTCTTTATTCTATATAATACTGGTATCGGGTATGTTTAAAAAGAGTATAGATGAAAACTGTTTGTATGTGTATAACAAGTAAATTAAAACAAAGGGACGAACGTGGGATATCCTGCAAAAGAATGCCATTCTGACATTGCTGGTGAGTTTAACAGTTTTGTACTGTGCGTATAGTCGATTTTCAAGGCCAAAAATACCCATGGATATCTGCATTGACTGACGAGTTCAAGCAGCGCTTACGATTTATTAGGTAAAATTAATTTTAGATCAAGAGTACAAATGAAATGTCACTACCTAAAAACGAAGCCAAAAGTAAGAAGGAGAAGATTTAAAATAAAGTCATTTCCGTGTTCTTCTTCTCTAAGTGTTTTGAAAATGTGCAATGGAAGACAAATAAGATTTATATTCGATCGCAAATTATACCTTAATCCTTGTTTCAAACCACTTCTTGCTTCGCTATTTACTGCTGTAAGCGGGTAACATGTATAAAGTCACTTACAATCTATATGGACAGTTTTTCAAAAAAGCAATTTGCTGTGCTGATCCAAATAGTGATATCATTGCTGCAGTTTTATCAAGTCAAGTCAATTTTCTCTGGCATAAAGTACATATGATACGATTGTAATACCGACCTCGTTTTGTGTACTCTTCTACGTAGTGTCAGAGTAGAGGTTGGGATTGCACTGTAAGCTGTAATACATGTACAGTGTTCATGAATTTTACATCACACAATGTTCACTTCCCACATGTATCCAGCATTATCTGTAGAGGATAGAAACGAACGAACAGACATTTAACGAAGCTCTGTTGGTTATCATTTCTTACTGACTGTTTTAAAATTATATCTTCAATATCGCTCTAATTACAGCCGTAATTATAAGCTCATTTTATATATGTGATATATATTCATATATATATATATATATATATAACTCAATTAGGCTGAATGCACCGTTTAGATATTTATATATTTTGCGGTATTGTATGTGACACTTGACTATTACAGAATGTAATCTTCTCTTTGCCACTGATATTTATGTAGGCTTTCTTTATCAATAACGAAAGGGCACCCGTCAAGGACTGTTACATTTGCTTAAATCTATTATATTTTTGCAACGGCGTGCGTGAGAAAATGTAATACAGTTGTTTTCTGAAAAAAATCATACTGGAAATTAAGTGTCCCACACGCCCTACTTAATGGATATTTCACTCGCATGAAGTCCGTCATGGGCCCTTAGGGCAATTACATAATTGCACTCGGTTGAGTTGTCAAGAACAGAGCGGCAATAACATCACATAACATAATCTTAAGGGTCATTTTAAAGCAATTGCTTTAATATCTTGTCTATCAGGGCATATCATCGTCACATAGCCTGAAAAATAATGATGAGATCAAGTGTAAGGGCTTGCTTATGCATTCATTTGTTTAAGCTTTCAGCGTTACGACATCAAAACAGAGTAGGAAAAAAAAACAGGATATGAGAGGGTGCAACAGAAAATTATTTTAAAAAAACTCAAAGTGACTCTTATCTGAATTAGAAAGCATGTTTCAAGAATTTACACACTTCTTTACTGATTATAATTTTGGTTTTAAGATATTTGATATTATGCACAATTATTAAATTGAAAATGGACATACGAGGAGAAGGTGAAATTCGTCTTCTGTATCGTTCAGGATAAGGAGTTCCATTTTCTATTTCTTTATATTTTATTGTTGGAGAACCTCCCTTGTTCTGCTGCTTATTTGTGGGATAAAAGTCTTTTTTCTTTCTTTCTTTTATTTTAATCTATATATCTTTGGGGGATATTGGCAATTCTTCAAAACATATAAAGAAACATTACGCTTTAGGTGGATAGAAGATGCAGAAAGCACAATGTCAGAAAAAAAAATATTGACTTGACTCGAGAACCTGAAGACAAAGCAATAAAAACTCGAAACCAGTAAAATGCTCGCCAAGCGATTTTCTTGAAAGCTATACCATTCCGTTTTCTTGCAATTAATCTTTGGCCCATGTAGTTAAAGGAAAGTTAAACTTATTATAAACGAGATGTGATCCCATTTGTTTTCACAAACACAGACCTTCCATCCCCAAGACGCCAACGCAATTCATTAGAGAGCCTCGTACAGACACGAACTCGGGATTTACCACAGCTGTGATAGCGAGCGATCAATTCTTTTCTTAACAGTGAGAGCCACGAGTACGACTCCCTGTCGGCGACTCAGATTTCATGCGAATCTATTATAAGATGTTATATGTGGAGATGGCCCTAGCCTATCCTAAAACGTACACCAAATCGCTTCCTGGCACGCCTGAAAACTGATGAAGAAAACCGTTTGCTTGAACTTAACAAATGTGTTTTCCAATTTGCTTATATCCATTATGATCCTTATTTTGTTTGAATCTTTTAGTAGGCCTACAGACTACTAGTCAAAAGGTGTCAGTTTATGGCCTCTGTTGTGTTACAGCAAGTGGACCAATCGCTGGAAGTGTTTGCAATTGTATGTTTAAAAAAAGCTGGCTCCAGGGTATGGTGGAATGACTTGGTATTTTCAAATTATAACCAGGGGAAGAACCGAAGGCGCAATGTACCGATAATAGAAGAAAGTTGGATTAGTATGCGGCATGTTCCTGAATAATATCAATAACCGTGTTGCTACATTTGCTGCTTTTTATCAATATCTGAACCAAATACAAGAAAGTTGAATAAGTGAACTTTCTGCATAAAGGCATTTTATGAAGAGGGAATGAAATTCACCAAGGGCAAAAGAGACAATTAAGTTAATTAGTTTTATGGTTGTAATTATACGATTATTTGTATGTCCCATAAATTATATCCAAAACTGTCGATTGTTTTGTGACCTTCAAAGAAATAAACAGTGGTTGCAATTGACTGAAAATAGTGAAGGTTTTAATACAATTAATACCGACATAACCAGCAAATCAGCGTTCCCCTGACTACTTCCTTAAAATAGGTACATAGATTTGTTATTAAAAAAAAAATATAT